CAATTTGGGCTCAGTCCTAATGCTAATCCAGGTTTTTTTTTTTTTTTTTTTTCATAATGAAAACTGAAAAGATTCTTTCTCAGCAAAATAAATTTTCAATCTGATTAGTGATTATGACATAGCAGCTGGACATAGAAAAAAAAAAATTAACAACTGACTTTTAAATTAAATTAAAAATGGGAACACTATTTATAATAATACACCTATATGTTTGTCATTTCTTTTCTAAATATTTAAACAGAGTGCTCTGTTCCTCTATTCTTCCCCAGCATTTCACAGCACAGAGTAGACTAATTTTGGGCATATATTCTGGCTAGCTGGCTAAAGAGTATGGCATTTTAGAAAATGGATGAAGTGCTTAGATTCAAAGGATGGAATGGTTTCAAACCAATGCATCTCCTTCACCTACAGTCACTAAACAAAACTTAGCTCTTCTCCATGGGTCAAATGTCACATACTCTTTTTATTTCAAAATAATTATCATTTTTTTAATTTTAAATTTATACTAAATTAATTTTTTTAATTTTTTAAGGCATATAAATATTTTTTCTTAATTTAATCATATTATTATTTGTTTATTTTAATTAATTATTCAATCACAAAAAAAAAATCTTTTTTTAAGAATATTATAAAAAATACAAATATTATTTTTAATCTTTAATTTTTTTTTTTTAAAACAAATTATTTTGGAAACAGAGAGAATATAGTTTTCGAATGTTAATTGACACTTTTTTTGGGTTAGGTAAGGCCATCGACTTTTTAAGTACTTATATACCGACAATATTGAATTTAAAGTGAAATGTATATAAATAGATAAAATATTTGATTTAGTAAATAAATCACAGATTGAGAGGTTTTACACCCATGTGACCAAGTTCAGACCAAGTTTCCATTGCCTATTTTCAAAAGTTCAGACCAAGTTATTCAAGCATAATCATAGCAAAAGTGCAATGATATGGGGACAGATGGATGGGTGGATGCCCCAACCCTCACCCATTCATCGTCCAACCAAAGAGTTCAATTTTGAAGTCTCCGAATGGAAGTTGTGAAATTCAAAGCATGGAAATATGCC